GCTTTCTCCTGTTGAGCGCTCTCCGAAGACCACCTCCATAACTTCGTTCAGAGAATCGTTTGGCAGATTTTGAATGCAGATTTGAAATCAGCGTCAAAAAATACGCCTAGCAGCATAGGTCCCATTTCAAATGGCCACTTCGACTTGGGATCCCTCCCTTGTCAGTGCACGTACTAGTAGGCAAATAAACGCGACGGTAATTGGTCAATTTGCCTCGGACCACAACATAACGGCAGACGGAATCAGCCGTTGTGAAGCAATTATTCTCCACGATGAAGCCAAAAACACTAACTTCAACGAACTACTGTCCAAACACAGAGATAAAACCTTATTTTACGTCGAAAACAATTTAATAAGAGTGAAGTCGCGGCTGAACTACGCTTCCTTTCCTCGTGATACAAAAGAACCTCTTCGTTCCGAATAATTCCGAATTGGTGCGCCGAATAATAAACGAAATTCACGTCACGAACATGCACTGCGGGCGAAATCACGTTTTATCGCTCCTAAGAATGCGATTTTGGGTTCCGAAACCTCCGGCGAAAGTAAGAAAGAATCTACCACGGGACCGCTCTGTTATCTGCAAAGCATTCCAACATGTCGGTTGCGACTACATAGGACCTTTCACGACCGACAACAATGAAAAAGCGTACATAGCACTATACACCTGCTTGATAACACGAGCCATCCACCTAGAACTGGTCGACAGCCTCTCCGCGTCAGCCTTTCTTGACAGTTTCCTACGCTTCATAAGCGCCGTGGAGTTCCTACAATAATTAGGTCGGATTGCGGTACCAATTTTGTCCTGGGGCAAAGGTGATTGACCATCTCTTCCAGAACACCACAGAAACGGGACATTCAGTCATGTCGTATTCAGCCACAAAGAACATCAAATGGATATTTAACCCACCGGCGGCTCCCTGGATGGGAGGAGTATGGGAAAGACTTGTAGGAACTGTGAAAAAATGCATTTCCAAGACAATAGGTCGTAAAAAACTCTAGTACAGAAAATTGACAACAATGTTAACATGCAAGCCCTCGTTAACACACACCCTCTCACAAAGGTGGATCCTCAAGATCTCACATCACTACCACTTCGTTCCATACATTTTCTACAGGGAAACCTAAAGTTCTTCTTGCCCGAGAGCTCCAACTCAGACGAACGCGAATGCCCTTCTTACGGGGAAATAACCATTACCAACATAGAGCAAGCAAAAGAAGCTCTCAATTTTGCAGAAGACGGCGCCAACTCCTTTTGGATTAAGAGAATACTTGACAGAGCTACGTGACCCACACAAGTCGTCTCCGAACCAAACCAGACACAACTCCTGACCAGAACCCGAAATTGGCGAAGTCATACTAATACTGCCAGACGAACCCGTCCCTCGTAGCAATTGGCCTCTCGGACGTATCGTTGAGCATATTCGAGCTTCCGATGGCCCAGTAAGATCAGCGAGAGTTATCACGTCTTCCGGAAAGACGTCCCATCGTCTTACAACAAAACTCGTTCCACTTGAAATTCGAAGCAGTCTCGCTGGCTAAATATGACATGTAATATAGCAGCGGAATCCGAGACGAAGCAAAACCCTCAGAGAACATCGTTGCCCAGAAAGGCAAAAGAAAACGTAAGGTACTATGTAGCAACTGCTACCATACAGTACATGTTACAAGGCGGCAAGCTCTACACTAACACTCTTCCGTCGAGGTGGCTCAACGCGCGCACCGACATGTGAAGATCAAAAGTGCGTGTGATCTGACCTTTGATCTTTGGCCCGACCGGGGGTATAAATAGCCAGAGGGCTTCTCGGTCGGCTCATTCTTGGACTTGGTGGTCTGCAATCCGGCAATACCGTATCCAATATCAGTACTCAATATCCAATCGACTCAATACACAATATCCGTCACAATACCCTTCCACAATCGGACTCCACAATACGCAGGAAAAGAAGTAATTCTTGTTAGTGTTTTGTTGTATTAATAAAGTTTAACACCAAGCCGTACACTCGAGCAGTTCAGAGGTATCCGCGTGGCAAATCTCATAGATTTTGGGCTAGCAACCTCACCACACTAGTGACCACAATCTGGTGCATCGGCAGTCTACGGAGCCGGGTTAGTGAACTCTCTCTACCGGAAAGCTAAGCGGTTGCCGTGGAATCTGAACTTCAATATCCAATATCTCAATATCTTGTGACAGAACAATACTCAATATCTCAATATCTTGGAAAACAATAAGGGAGCTCAATCCCCTTAGTCACAGGTGCCATTAGGGGCATTCAAACAAGGATGTCTACCCTACTCAGCGCCAAGAAACGTCCCTTGACGTTCACTATCAATCAACTCGAGCTCATTCTCGATAGCCTCAAGCACGACAGACTTGAGGACACTTCTCTAGATCCCAATTTAACTCGAGATGTTCATTTCGAAAACATACGCAAATTGGAAGAGAGTATCAAAGCCATTGAACTAGCAATGGCAAAGGTGGAAAATTCCCTCGACGCGTTAGCCCCAGCATTTGATAGCACCAACCTTTCCGGAAATGAACCCAAC